GGAAAATCAGTTATTCAGCCACCAAACGAACATTTAAGTCAGCCACAATAAGTCAGCCACTTAATACACCGTAAGTCAGTCAAAACGTGAATACTATTTTAGTAATTAACTTTTTGTTAACAATCAGCCATAATAGAGATGAAACGCAAGAAGTCAGCTGTATCGTTAAATAAACCAGTCGGCAAATGAATGCTATTCTAGTAATTAATCTTTCGTTAAAAAGTCAGCCGTAAATTAGCTGAGTTTACTGTTACTCCACTTTATGACGGCTGATTAAATATAACTCAGCTGTAAAAATATCTCATAACTCGGCCGGTCGACGATCAATTAACCAGCCGCGATAGTTAACTCAGCCTTCTGGTAACTAGAACTCAGTCGGATTTTCCAGGAACCAGACTAAGGATGTATAAGTCAGTCGTAATATCTGACCGTAACTCAGCCGTTATCAAATAAAGCAACCAGATTTTTTTAAGTCAGCCATAACGATCGACTGAGTTATGTTCATAACTCAGCTTATTTCTCATAAGTCAGCTAGGTTAGTTAAGTCAGCCGCAACGCACCTATATCTCGGCCGTAACGAAGTTCATATCGTATTGAGGCTGAGTTTTATGCCGCATTCTTACGTGGACCCGATTTTTTGCCTACGTGGCACAAAAANGCTTATTTCTCATAAGTCAGCTAGGTTAGTTAAGTCAGCCGCAACGCACCTATATCTCGGCCGTAACGAAGTTCATATCGTATTGAGGCTGAGTTTTATGCCGCATTCTTACGTGGACCCGATTTTTTGCCTACGTGGCACAAAAAAGTAATGGTATTCTCGTAAATATGTTTTTTCTCACAACGTAAAAAAAGGGCACCCTAGGTACTAAAAAAAAGGTAGTAATAAAAAAAAGTTTTGTATGGTTGTGATAATAATTAATAAAATTCATACTAGTTGAGTTAACTTCCCAAAAAAAAAAGGATATATCTAAAACCACATTTAAATTCAAGGGATTTGCAAATATAACTCAAAACAAAAAAGTTAAATGCAAAAGTAATTCATGATTTTCTCTTGACATTTTCATTTGTCATTTTCACCTCAGAAGTTCTAATTATTCACGAAAAATGTCATTAATTTTTTTTAAAATTGATTGTTTTACTCAATCATATTCATCTTCCTCTTTTATTTACAATATTACCATTGTCTTCAATACACCAACCTCCATGAACAATCAATTTCAAGCTCCCAATGCACATAAAAGCAACATCTTCATATTCATATTTCTAACACACACAAACCAATTTTCTTTCACTTCCTCTTTTATTCCATATCAAAATCTCAAGTTTTTATTTCAAAATTTATAAGCTTATTATAGTTAATCAAATTCATGATACTTGGTCAAGAATGAGTGGGTAACTTTTATTAAGAAGTTATGTGTACTTAAAAAAACTAAACATGAACCTCATTGGATCTAAGAATGATCTTTCAAATCTATTTCGCGAAGGAAGTCTTCTCGACCCATAAGAATTCTACGGATTTTTTCTGTTCAATGCATAAGTTAGTTTTGTAATTGACTTTCTGTGTATATTTTTGAGAAGACTTCCCTAAAATTTTTCAACTTATCTTTGTTAACAAGAAAAAAAACGTGTATACTTCCGTAAAATTCTACATGAAATTTGTCACTGCAATTGACAACAAAAATAAAATATTTAATTTTAATTAGAAGACTTCTAGGAAAGTTTTCCGTTAGAAGACTTCCACTCGATTTTCATTTTCTCTAAAATTAAAAGGCTTTTCACTATTTTCTTGTTAATTCATGTATATTAGTCAACATTGGGACTCCTGGATGAAATTCATAACTTAATTGGTGATAATGATGAGGTTATAAACATTCATGCTTATTAATGTTTATAGTTAATGTGAGAATCTCAGAAGACTTACATAGAAGTCTTCTACGTTCATTCTTGTAAAATATATATTTTCAAAGTGTTAATTAACTTCAAGGTATGTTTTTAGGGATTTTTGCAAATTTTACTCAAAACTCAAAGTCACACACAAAACTAACTTTTTTTTTTAATTTTCGTTTGTCTTATTCACCCCATCTGTTCACATTATTTACGAAAATGCCATTACATTTTTTTTTTTCTTTTTTCGAAAATTGTTTTCTTACTCTCTCAACCTCATCATCTTCAAATATTTACAAGATTGACATTGCCACCAATACCCTAACTACCATGAACAACCAACTTGAAGCTCTTAATGCACCTAAAATCGATTTACACTCTCTCTTTCTCAATTGTTATGAATTAAAACCAACATCTCTTTCACTTTGTCTCCATATTCATACAAAAAAAACAAGCTTTTGATTCAATTTTTTTTATGGTTGATAGAGTCATTTAAGCATACAATTCTTGGTGGGTTACTTTCATTTGATAATTTGGGTGGTTGGAGAAGACTTTGTGTGATAAGGAAGTCATCTCACCTAGTTTAAGGTATGAAATTGAATTTTTTTCCAGATCTATTTGCGTAGAAGACTTACTCGTAAGTCTTCTGGATGTAAGTCGTCCAGCTGGACGACTTAGAAGTAAGTCGTCCAGCTTTGTATGTTAAAAAAAATCTAGACGACTTATAAGTAAGTCGTCTAGGAAAAACAGGCTAGTTTTGCATTTGACCGAACTGTGTCAGATATTTGACTTTTCTTGGACGACTTACCAATAAATCGTCTCTGGAAAAGTTAAAATTCAATATTTTATTAAATGTAGATGACTTACGGATAAGTCGTCTTAGGTTAGTTTTGAGATTTACTTGTTCTGTCTTGGTTTTAAATAAGTATTTTCGTTTCGGCGTCGCACCTATTCGGTGGTGGTCCGATTTTGTCTCCGGGAAGAGGTGGCTTCGAAAGCATCATCTTCGCCGGCTTTGCTTCCGGAGTCCGTTTCCGGCTTAGGTTCCGTTAGCTTGTGTTTCCTTTGGCAAATCTAATCGGCTATTTTTGTTTGTAATGAAAGGCAGTGGTTTGGGTTAGAATGGGTGAATTGTCGGTTTAGGTCTTCAGTTTGCCTTTCAAGACGGTGAAAGCGGTGGACGTTGTCATGACGCGTGCCTCCTTTGTTGAGGGTCAAATATGTGTTTCTACATACGCTTTCTCTAGCCTTTATAAGGTGTGTTCCGGTGTGCTCCGGTGGTTCGAAAAGAAGTTCAGCCAGTGGTGAAGTTCATTCGGTGAAGACGAAGACGGTGGGACTCGATTTAGCACGTGTCTGTGTTGGCTTCCAACACGTGTTGGTGTAACTCATGTATCCGTATGTTAAGTTTGAGCCTATGTTGGTTTTTAGGTTTGGGCTTGTAAACTAATACCTGTTGGGCTTGTATGTGTACTTTTTAAAGTAAATAAAATAAAAATGGAAAAAAAAATTTAAAAACTTAATGAAATATAATAAGTTTGAATTGAAATTATCTGTAACATAAGAATTGGAGTTTAACAAGACAAGATAAGAATACATATTAAAAAAAAAAAAAAAAGAGCCTCTCAAAAAACTAACTATACTTTGAACTGGTTGTTCTCAAATGCCAGACTCATTTGTTTTACAAGATACCAACAACTAACTTCTACTTGGAAACACAGCTCTCTATCTTTACGTATACACAGTCTTGCTTAACTTCTATTGCAGCTGTTGTTTCCTTCCTTTTATACGATGTTGAATGCATGCAGACTTTCTGGAAATATGCAGAGAAAATCATTTGTACGTTAGAAAGTTGTATCTTGAATATTAATGTCGAATAACAACAAAAAAAATCATTAAATAAACAATTTACCAAGAACTCATTGTCAGGTGATAGACTGGTCTCATTGATCTCTCATTCTGAAGTCACAGATGACTCAAGTCATCATCTACTATCCATTGACCATCAGGTAACCTATTACAAGCAAGAATAAACTGAGATAGAAGAGAAGATCAGAAGGAGAGAAATAGAAAAAGGGTCGAGAAGAAAATGAAAAGAGGTTAGATGGCGCCTGAACTTAAGAGAATGAGGCAAGAAGATTTGATATCTAGGTTAAATTAGAGACATTGTCAAAAATGGTCAAAATGTGATCAAAATTTCCTAACCACTTTTTGATTATACATTTTGGTTAAAAATTTTTGATCATTTTCTGACCATCTATTTTATTCATCACAAACTGGACAAATAAGGTTACAATTATTTTTGACCATTTTTGTTGGTTAGAAATCAGTCAAAAAATTTGATCACTTATTGACAATACGTTTTGGTTACAAAAATTTAGCCAATTTTTGATTATTTTTGTTATTCATCACAAAATGGACAGAATAATGTCATAATTATTTTTAATAATCTTTATCGGTCTGAAATAGGATCAAATATAATGTGCTTTTTTTTGTAGTGTCTCCTAATGATTAAGAAAACTAACGAGTGCTTCAATACATAGAATAAAGATGAACGGAGACAGAAGATCTTTTTGTCGCAATTCCATATGGGACAATATTGTCTCTTGACTAACCATTCATAAGAACCTTGGAGCTCACTGAGATAATCCATCACATAATCAAGTCAATCAAGGTTTCACAGAAACTCATCTTTTACATTACTGCTCGAATGAACTCTCGTTCCATTGTGTCAGAGGCTTTGCTTATACTTGTCATCATTTTATTCTTACCTCCGGACATTGGTCTTAGTGTGTGGAACACTTCTTGAGCAATTATAATGTTATCAATTGCTCCCGGCAACAAAAGCTGACTGAGTTTAAATATTCACTATGGGAGAACATTTTTCAATCTCTGACATAAGCCTTAGAAATATTCTTTTATCTCATATTGCATAGACACAGGATTGTTATTGCTCTGCTATAAACTCTCTACATTACATATTTTTCTTTTTGAACATCTCCACACAAATTACAAACCAAGCAAGACCGTCCTTTTTCGCCATGAAAATCCGCGGGAAACAACACATAAAGAAAGAAACTGGGAATGAATTTATAGATGGGTTCTATTTAGCTTTCTTAGGCTTTAGCAGCTTCTGCAGGAGCAGTGGCTTTGTTGGCAATGAGCTGCTCATAGAGATCTCTGATCTTCAATCCAACAATGGTCTGGAAAAGACCAGTCCCGTTGTTGCTACCAGGGAAGTCAGCATGTTTAAGCATCTGCTGAGTGACTTCACCGTAGAATTTGGTCGAGAGATTGCTCAGATGGCTCTCCACATATATAATCTCGTCTAGTCTATCGAATTTCCCATCCATTTCCAAAACTGAAACCTGAAACAGACAGAACAAAATGCTCAAAGTAAAGCTAAGGAAACTTAACTCATTTTTGCAATGTTACCAATAGAGAAAGAGATAGATGAATGTACACCTCATGGTCGAAGTAGGTATCAGGTTCGTAGTAGAACTTGATGCCAGGGTACGAGCAGGTGAGTTTGCGACCACAAGGGATCCACGAGATGGTTGAAGCTTCATCGAAAAGGTAAACCGGGCTGAAGTACTTAACACCTTCCTTCATAATCAGTCTCACTCTCAACACTTTGCCTTCATTGTCATCTGGAATGAGCTGCGTTGGAAGCACTTCTATGACCGCATCAGCGTACTGCTTTTGAGGGTCTGCATAAGCCATTGATACATTGTTGGAACCAGATCATTGTTGGGGTCAAAATCGGTACGACGGAATTAATAGCCAAAACTTTCCGCAAGAATACAAAATGAACAGTTTTATAAAACTCGAGAAATCGTTTTATAAAGCTCGAAAATCGTTTTATAAAGCTCGAGAAATCGTTTTATAAAGCTCGAGAATCGTTTTATAAAGCTCGAGAATCGTTTTATAAAACTCGAGAATCGTTT